ATAGTTCACTATGACATTTCAGGGGTGAATGAGTTAAGGATTCCCGTACCACTGCTAAATCTGTAATTATGAATTAGAAACTTCATTTACTGACATGACCACAGCTTTAATAAATTGTTTCTGAAAAGAAATCCTTGCAGAATTTTGTTTTGACAAGATCAATAAATATGAAAGAAACATTGAAAAAAGAATACTAATGAAATCAACAATGTAGTATTCTGAAAGTGAAAATTGCAATGGGGCTCTAACCATCTTAGCTTCCTGATAAGTGGTATATCGTAAATAAAATTAAGGGGAGAATTAAGGGGAGATAACTGATGTCTGAAAAACTACAGAGGAATTCTTTAATTTAGTGCTTTGCCTGCAATGTGTTGAGATCCTTAATTAATCCTGAAACATTTCTATTTCACATACAATTGAAGAGATGACCACATCAACTGGGATGTAAATCTTGGATTAAGTCGGTGATATATATCTCAATTGATCTTCTTGTGGTCCTGTCTTGAATTGGTTTAATTCATTATTCTTATGGCCAGACAAGCAGATTCCATTTAGGGATCCGTCAAATAGAGGACACTGGCCTATATAGAGTGACTGTTAGGTATTCCACCCTCTGTATTACTACACAGTCACATTTATCATAGACATATCAGCTTACATATTCTCCAGAACTGATTTTGCTAATTAGTTCATCTTCCAGTCTCCCAGAATTCTTTGGTTATGCCCCTGATATTTTATAAATAAAAAAATAAAATACAACTTTGATAAAGCACCTTATCTAGATAACATAAGCCACTCTAAAGCACTTTACAGTACATAGATATACAATTTTATACAATTCCCCTGGTAGACTTATTAATTATTACTCAAGTAACTCAGTCAGCATATTTGTGTGTATTTGATGACTGATCAATTTTCTGATTGAACGGATGGCAATTAAACTTTCCTAGTAACCGTATATACTTACAACCCAAGTTTGATGCCAGACCATAACCATCGCAAATAATGAATGAGGCTGCTACAATCTTATAAATAATACAACAGCAACTATAGTACATTTTAGTTCTTGATCATCAGTAAACTGCTATCTGCCATCATTACACCTTATAGGCTTGTGTAGATCTAGAGGACACCCCCCTTCTGTGGAATTGTTATTGAATTAATCAGTGAATAATGTTGTCCCGTTTGTTACAGCAGATCAAGACTTATTATTAGAATAAAAGGATATGAGATAAAAGTTATATGTCATAACACAGGCCCTTGGGGCCTTTTGATATTTCTAGATATAGTGTTTACAGATGATACAAACAACACTGTGTAGATGAAATCAGGCTGTGAGCATATTTCCATTGTCTCTCAAGCATGTGCTTTACCTGTTATTGTTAATTTCCACAAAATTATTTCTTCCCGGGGCATTTTTCAAAACATGATGCATATGGCAATAATTAAATGTTTGATAAATGATTGTCAAACAGATATGAAATTAATACCCTTTTTAGCTGTCATATTGACATACTAGAGGGACCATACACAACCAGGTGCCACATATCTGATGTCAATTAAGTGTATAGAGTGTAACTTTGTACAGTAAGCATCAGCGGACCAGATTTATCATCTTGTCACCGTTTACCTCCGTAATTACATCAGGTACGCCGTTTGTGTGTTACCTGTAAACCGAGTACCAAAAAACAACTCTTATCAAAAAATTGATCTTGAAACTTGGGAAGCAGAATCTTTTTGATGACAACAATTTCCTAGAAATATCTTTTCAGTATGGATGATTGCTGTCTGTTGTATGTATTTATATGTAAACCAAGAATAAAATGTATCCTATATACAAAAGATTGTTTGTCTGATAAAGAGGCCCCGGGACGGAAGCTGGAGACTGCGGTGTCAAGCTTCCTGGTGAACCTATGTATCTAATTGTTAGACCAGGATTTTTCTTGATGAATGATTAAAAATAAATGATGACAGAAATTGTGTTTGATTAAATAATTACGGGCCTGTGAGGTGGGATACAAATGTTTCTCGGGAAATGTTATTTGACCGAGTCTAGAAAACCAGGCACCATCGGAAATGAATCAATGTCAGTGGTATGTTTAACGGTGAATACATTTATTCTTTTAGCTACATGCAATCAGTGAGTTGGCGTCAAGTCCCATGCACATTTGTCTCCAACTGTTTGTAATGTTTTCAAAATTCTGAGATAAAGTCATAGTAATTCTAAGCGAATAATACCAGCTGATTGTCAACCACTGTCGAGATTTGTAACTGAGGCATTGTATATATAGTGTTGTTAAAGATATGTCACATTTAAACCATATTAATATTGTTATCATAAAATAGGAGATCTTAGACAGCCACCATTGTCTCAAGCTAGTGGAATTATTTCAACTTTTTTGTCTAATAATAATAATAATAATTGGAGGTTCTTATATACCACTTTATCACAATCTAGTTTGTAAGTGGTCTCAAAGTGGTTCACAAATTATTACCCGTGGTTATACTTATAGGGCCTTTGCAACCAGCCAATATCTTTCTCAACTCCCTGGGGAGCATACAGCTGGTGCTGCCATTTCGGCGCTAACAGCAAGCATTCTACATTTCTAGCACTGCCCAACCACGTACTCATTTACAGCTGAGTAGACTGGAACAAGCAGAGTAAAGTATATTGCTCAAAGATACAACACAGTGCTGTGCCGTGACTCGAACTTGCAATCCTTCGGTCATGAGCACGGCATCCTACCACTAGACTACTGTGCCTCCTGGTTAATTCACACAAACATATATTATGGTATAGGCTTTGTTCAGTGGACAATGTTTTCAAACTGTTTTTCAATTATTGAATCACTCTAGAAAGATCAGGTTATAGGGTATCAATCACAACAGCGTCAGAGAGGGTTCCTTCAGAAAGACGCCAGCTAATGGGGCGAAACCGGTCGACAGACAAATAAATCGAAGAAACCTACTCCGATGCTTGTTGTGATCGATACCCTTACCTGATTCTTCTCTACTGCCCAATCACCCTGCATACTTCCGGGTATCCAGTTGAAGGGTAAAGGACCCTTAGATCCACCTGAGTACAAACGAATGGCGTTGACTCTACTCCCTGCACCACTCTAAAAAGATGATTTTTTGCATGATTTTAATCAGTAGCAACTTAAGTAATATCAGGTTGTAATTGCATTGTTGAACATTATTTTTCTAAAAGATAAAATTGTATATACATGTATTGTGCCCTTTAATGACCTTTTGCCCTCAGACCCCTAGTCTAGTGTCAAAACACAAGGTCAAGCTGTTAAATGTGTGTACAATTACTGGGCTATTATTGGCCAGGTATAAAGAATTTTTCTTCCCTTTTTGTCATTCCAAAGGCATTTAACATTGATAAAATACTAGTATATTGAATGACTCATGTAATGGTCATAGACAAATAAAAATGAAAATATGAAAAATGGACAATATCAGGGTAAGTTTTTAGGTAAATATTGATAAATATGACTCTCACATATACAGAAAGTATGTACATTAAGGATACAGTCATATAGAACGTTTTGTGTGTAGAACATATTTGTGGCTGATTTTTGAATCTAAAAAACCCCACCATCAAACAAAAGGTGAACTAGGAATGCTGTGTAAGGGCAAACATATTTTAGCCTACCGACATTCTGATGTGGGCCATTCAAATGACCTTTCATCAATGGAATGATGTCCATCCTAAAACAATCCTCATTAACATAATTTCTTAAAAAGGTATTTAATAAACTATCTCAAATTTCGTATGTAGGTTTTCTTTGGTCCTTAATTTCACATGTTTAATGTATTGCCTGGTGGCCATCTTAGATTATAAGATTTAAATTTTGCTATTGCTATTTCTCAGAACGTACAAAAGATGTCTTTCTCAAAGAGTTTCACAGGTACATTCTCCTTAGTCCTTAGCTGTGCATTCCAATTTTTTGACTGATCGCAAGAACAAGATGTTTGCCAGGTGGCCATCTTGGATTTTGACAGTTTGAGTTAGCTATCGCTATCACTATATATAGTACATGATGATTTTTTTCTCAGATTTCACAAGTAACAAGAAGGCTCTTCCCCTTAGTTGTGAAATTCAGTTTTGGGAATGGTCACAAGAACAAGAACTCGAGAACATTTGAAAGGAAATATGATATTGATGAATATTTAGTTACAAATTTTCGTAGAGTAAAGAAGTTTTGTGATGCCAGGGTCAGGAAATAGAGCAAAGTTGTCTGTTTCGAAGTATATAAACTTACAAATGCATACATGAAAATTCTATTTACTGATCATTATTAATGCAATCATGGAGTAACCTTTCTTTATTTTTTACTGATCTGTTCGCATTGTACTCATGTGTATGTGGTCTTTGCCTGCCATTATTGTTTCGAGTTTTACACTTTCAATTTAACTGAACATGGTAGCTCATTTGTAAATATGACAAATAGAATTGGTCTAATTACTGACCCTTGTGGTATTCCTGACGTGACATATTTGCATGTGGATCTAGTTTTGCAGTTCATCTCAATTAATTATATGTGATAATATTTTGTTTTGTAAACTTTGTGCTACTAAATATATATATAACGATATTCAATATGAACAAAAACTCTGCCAAAATCAAAACAAAGTTCCTTACTTAAAGATTGTAAAACTCACAGAACGGTCTCCAAGAATTCTGGCATGTATGACGACCTGTTGATTATGGACAGTCACTAATTTCTGTAGCTTGGAAAGTTCTGTACTTAACTCTGTATAAACCAGACCCTGTATAAACTGGCAAATTTTTTGGTACCAATCATATACGGTTTCAGCAGAATACACTGTAATTATGATAAGAGATGACGATTTATTTAATTACAAGGTAAACTGTGATATATTTCATTGCAGGTTAAATTTGAATTTACACATATATATATGTATATTCTGGATGATAACAAGTGATATTTTTGTAACTTCAGGTAAAATTACTATTTTGTATTTAACAGGTGATGTACCTATCTTGCCTGCCCTACCTGGAGCAGTTGTCACTGACCAATAACCCCTGTGTGCTGATGACCGCCTCAACTCCATATCCTTGTCTATATCAATCAATGGTGTCTTATGGTCATTAATTAGACTTATTAGATACGAAGATGATCTGGCCGATTTTACACCTGGTATTCTTATTCTATAGATGTATAGTTGTGCGAAAGAACTTCAGAAATTTTTCAGCTAAAGAAAAATTACATTATAAAATACTGATCAATTGTTTCAGATAATTACTTTTCTTATTCGGTTCTGGTTCCTCCACCATGAAATTTGGAATACTCTGGTTTTTATGGTGAGGTTCAAATCAATACCTTTCACAACATTTTTGACTAAAATACTATAATAAACATTTGTCCAAAACATGCCTTTTGAATGGCAAGCTATGTGTGTAATGAAATAGAAGGTGATCCAAAATACACTTGTTTGAATCAAAACTATTGAGTTACCGGTAAGTGAATAAATATTACAAAACTGCATCAGTAATGGTACTTGGTGGTTGTCATATGAAATAAATGCACAAACATAGATACCCCAATCAAAGGTTTTAGCATCAAAAATAAGTCCTAAATTTATTTCAAACAACAAAATAATTTAACTTAATTTAATTTGAAACTAATTATTGTTGTGATGAATGTTGCTTGATTTCTGTCCTTGACTGTCTGTAATGGCTTTGATGGTCGGCCTTTCATCCTCAACTGGATAAGTTCCCTCAAGGTGCTGGACGGCTACCTCATCACAGAGAAGGAAAGGTAAACTAATAGTCCATTTTGGTGTGGGCATTACAGTTTGGAGCAAGCTACTTTAAAGAGAAGGACAAGCTACCTTAAAGTAAAGGACAAGCTTCCTTAATGAGTAGGGCAATCTACCTTAAAGTGTAGGGCAATATACCTTAAAGTGTAGGGCAAGCTACCTTAAAGTGTAGAGCAAGCTACCTTAAAGTGTAGGGCAAGCTACCTCAAAGTGCAGGACAAGGTACCTTAAAGTGTAGACAAACTACCTCAAAGTAAAAGGCAAGCTACCTTAAAGTGTGGAGCAAGCTACCTTAAAGTGTTGAGCAAGTTACCTTAAAGTGTAGGACAAGCTACCTTAAAGTGTATAGCAAGCTACCTTAAAGTGTAGGACAAGGTACCTTAAAGAAAAGGGCAAGCTACCTTAAAGTAAATGGCAAGCAACCTTAAAGTGTAGAGCAAGCAACCTTAAAGTGTAGAGAAAGTTACCTTTAAGTGTAGGACAAGCTACCTTAAAGTGTAGAGCAAGCAACCTTAAACTTAAAGTGTAGGACAAGGTACCTTAAAGTGTAGAGCAAGCAACATTAAAGTGTGGGACAAGCTACCTTAAAGTGTAGGACAAGCTACCTTAAAGTGTAGAGCAAGCAACCTTAAATTGTAGGACAAGGTACCTTAAAGTGTAGAGCAAGCAACCTTAAAGTGTTAGACAAGATACCTTAAAGTAAAGGGCAAGCAACCTTAAAGTGTAGGACAAGCTACCTTAAAGTGTAGAGCAAGCTACCTTAAAGTGTAGAGCAAGCAACCCTAGGTTGGTTTGTGATCACTATTTTTTTCCAAAAATAAATTGCTAATGTAACTGCAGATTTGCCGTTGCATCAGTGTCGAAACTCATCAACCGGCTTTACAGAGGTCTGTTTGATTCTAGGTATAAGTCTGAAGCAGATTGTGTGTGCTTCATTTTACTGTGCACATCAGCGAAAAGTACAAATTGGTTTTACTGAAGTTGATGTATTTGTTTTTGAAAGGTGGTCTAATGAAGCTGAAGTAGGAGTTGATTGGCTGTCCTCGGCATGTCTGTACTCCATGTTGAAATGTCAGCATCATACCGCAAATGATTATAAACTTCTGATGTAGCCAAGTATAAAATGATCCAAATTAGGTAGCATTTCTACTCTCAAAGAACATTGAGGAATGAACAAAAAAATATAGAATATGGTCTTCTGGTGTGGTGTTGCTACATTTATATTATTTCAGTGAAAGGTTCCTTGGCAGATTGCCAACTACAAAATATATACAGTTAGTCCTTTTTCCTTCAAATTGATGTATCTAATTGTATAAAAAGCAATTATATATATAAAAAAAAAAAAAATACGAGTAAATACAGTACTTATAAAAATACATCTATATTTGAAATATATTTTTTGTTTGGCAAGTAAATACAGTACTTATAAAAATACATCTACATGTGAATTAAAACCAATGGACATTCTTTCGTTAAGTAATGTAGATTTTATTCGATACACAGAAAACATCTGGACACAGAAACATCCTAGTCTATGTTACTTTGACTTTGTCATTAATTCCACTAATCATGTTAATGGTTTTCATACAGATATGCTGAATAAAATGTTTTATCAATTATAATCAAATTATTGAAATATCATGTATTTCTTGTAACATCATCCTCTGACATTATATCTATGCTCGTTAGCTGGGACCTAATTAACCATTAATTGGTAATCAGTTTTGATGGAGTAGATTTGTGTTCTACTTTAAATACAAAACCGGCATTAAGGAGACCATCATTGATTTGTGTCCATTGTGTTGTTTGGAGAGGGTACAGTACTGTGAGGAATCTTCGCGTTCTGTTTAATGACTGCAGGCATCATGTTACTCAATATTAAATGACATATTTATATCAGAGACCATTAGAAATAACTGCTCTGGCAAAAAGTACATCGAGGGTATTGACAAAATAATACACAATGTTAATGTAGAACATTTATATAATAATAATTCAAGGTTCTTATATACCGCTTTATCACAACCTAGTTTGTAGGTCATCTCAAAGCGGTTCACACATTATTATCCGTGGTTATAGGGCCTTTGCAACCAGCCAATATCTTTCTCGACTCCCTGGGTAGCATACAGCCGGTGCTGCTGTTTAGGCGCACACAGCTAGCATTCTACAATTCTAGCACTACCCAACCACATACTCATTTACAGCTGAGTAGACTGGAACAAGCAGAGTAAAGTATCTTGCTCAAAGATGCAACACAGTGCCGTGTCGTGTCTCGAACCCGCAACCCTACGGTCACGAGCCCGGCGTCCTACCACTAGACTACCGTGCCTCCTATAGGCACCTTATACAAGTAACTAAATTATTCAAAGGTACTTGGAGGTATGTTCAGATATTTTTGAATCACATATTTTTCAAAATCACATTATAGTTATGTTTTTTCAAATAATCAAACTTGGGGTGTTTGCTTACACCTATGTACTTTGCGCATCCCCACTTTGGGCATTAAATTTCTAAAAAAAAAGTGTGCACAAGTTACGTAAGTTTTTACGGTACTTATATATATGTTCACAGGGTCATTTACAGGAAAAAAAATCATAAATCGGCGAAAGAAAATCTTACAAATCATTCACTAAAAAATCAAGATTATCTAAAAACCGAAGAATAACTTGATGGTGATGATTCCTGTTTCATAAATACTTTTGGTTTGAGTACCCATTGCACATAATTTTATGTTAAGACTTTCGGAGAGTTTCATAAATGTTGGATGAATGGAAATGGGTTTGTGTTCAATTTAGTACAGTTCAACCTGCTCAAGAGACCACCTCTATTAAGAGACCACTGTTTGTCTATAATGAAAACCTTGTATATGTGTATGATTTATCTGTGTAAACAAACACAAGAAAAATATAAGAGAAAACATTTGTCTCTCACCAGGAATTAAGGACATCATGATGTTTTTACTTGTGATGCCAGATGTGACTTTGCAAAAGTTTATGAGAAAGCGATATTACATGGAATCATAGCCAGGTTATACGATAAGACATTTTTTCCCGTAGATTTATGGTGTACATGCATTATTACCTAATGATGCTCCGCTGCACAGAACAGTTAAGAATCAAGATAATTTCTGTATAGATTGTTAGGATCATAAATCTTCATAAGGATAAAATTCACAAATGCTGACCATGCGAAAAATTTGTTTCAGACTGAAGGCTGAGTGGATTTACTGCCAAGGCAAAGGGCGGCACTTCAAGCCCGGCCATCACGTGGAAGTGGTGGAGTACCTGGCCAGTGTGTGTCCACTCACAAACTCTGCCGAGGTCAGTCTTAACCTTTCTTTATTCTAAAACTGCTAGACAACTTGTTTATCGTGTACCTCTGACAAGGAAAATTCCCAGTGCTAAGTGCTGGATTTTTTTCAGGAGCACCTGACGTCACAAGCAAATGGACTTAACTGTTACTGTAATGTCACACTATCTTGTCAAAACAGAAACAGAATTAAAAAGAGTGCCAAATTGTTATTTTCATTTCAGTAATAAATACGATAACTTTAATATAGTCATAATTAAACACCAATATATACCAATCGAAATGAAAGTTTGAGGGGATATAGGATTCCGTACGTACATACACGTACGTGGGTAAGTACATACGTACATATGTTACACTCTTTTTCATCGCTCTAGCGGCTTTATTCCTCAATGGAATTTCATGAATTTTCATGCAAGTTTCCAGTTACTGCGTTAAAGGTCAAGGTCACTTTGACTATTTTTAGAAAAACTTTGTCATTGCTCTATCGACTTCATTCCTCAATGCAATTTCATGAAACTTCATACAAGTGTTTGGTATGGCAATGCCTTAAACAAGTTCACGTTTCAGGTTACTGCGTTAAAAGTCAAGATCACTTTTACTATTTTTAGAAAAAACTTTGTCGTCGCTCTAGCAACTTCATTTCCTGTTACATATGTCACAATGTGTGAATGCGAGGGGATATATATCACTTGTGATGCTTTGTTTGTAAGATTTCTATCCTGATTGTCTACCTTGATTGAAATCTATTGACCTACAAACAGGACCTCTAAGTCTTCTTCTGATTCAGCGAGATTAAAAAACCCTGAATTTTATTGATTTTACATGATTCGAGAGTCTTGTTCTTGTTATGAATGCTATAAATCAATCTCAGTCTCCCAGAGAGATTATGTAATATCCCAATTATTACCATTGGACAGAGCTTGTATAGGCGTAAGCCTGTTGCCTGATTTAATTGGCGATTTAAAGTCAAGCAATGAAATCAAGAGCACGGTTTGCTCTTAGATATGGGAGAACAGTTGTCTACATTTGATTATTGACTGCACAATCCATTTATATTAAGCAAATATAACCCTGGATTACTTTGTCCTGATCAAGAAATAACATAGTAGGATGAGCGAAAAGGTTTTTTTATATTTTACAAATAGATTTTGTGGCCCTTTGTCTATTTTCTGCCTAAACTATAAAGACCATAGTATTTCACTGTCACTGGACAATGGTAACGTGAAGATAATGAAAATATTTCATGTTAATCGTTTTATTATCTTCCTTGATTGTAATTGATTTTTCCAGTGAAACAAATTGTGTTGCTTATATTGGCTTTTCCATACCGTTACAATGCTATAGTGCTACCTGTGGGAAAAGTAGGTTAAAGAACTATATTCACATAGTAGACAGAATTAATCATCAGGGATTGATAAAAACAAACAAATATTCCAGTGTTTCTTCCTGATTGTGTCATGTTTATCCTAATAAATTTCTCTCGGTAGCATGGGTCAATTCCTTTGGGGATCTGACATTCTCTGTATGGATGGTATTATACTGACCAATGTACAACGTTAGTAAAGGAGTTTGAGGAAGTTCTTTATACCCTTTCACCGCTGTAGACCATAATGGACTCATCCATATCAATGCATGGTGATGTCTACGAAAGTTACATAGGGGTGAAAGGGTTAGGGGTGCATGGATGATGCAAGGTTAAATGTTGATAGGGTAAGGCAAGTTACTGGGGCAAAAGGTGACTTCTTTGGACTTTGGATGGGTTCTTACGGGTAGAAGGAATTTATAGGGATAGGAGATCTACTTGTAGAGTGGTCTACAATGTAAGGTCTCCGAGAAAGAGGCGTTTCTTTTACGCTGTAGGCTGAATTCAGATCTTGGAGTAGTGCACGTTTCTTGGGGACAGGGGTTAAGAAGTAGAGAACGAGGGGGTAGGAGATGTACTTGTAGAAAACATACAAGCTGTATATATGTCAAGGTGGTCTCATAATAATTTTCATGCAAAATTCATTATTGATATGTATCCCAAATATCGTCCACATCATGAATCCCAAACAAAAGTATGTAATGAAACAAAGTGGAATCCAAACAAAATATATTATGAATCCAAACGAAAGGTACAAGATTTCATTGAAAAATTTGACTCTAGTGTTGGTTATACATGATAAGATATGACTGAAAGGACTTGGAGATTTTTATTTGAATACATATGGTATGCCTGCAGCCTCATACAGTATTATAATTTCATAGTTGGTGATGTTAACATTGTTTGATCTAAATTGAAAGCTGTATCTGGTTACGATCTTGTACAATAGATTAACGACAGAGAGGTTTCTTTGTCGAGGATTCTATTATTTATTTATTATATAGGTATGGATGAAAATGTGCCTCGGAATCGGATAAAATCAATATCGCCATCTAATGTTCATTAATTAATGTCCAAGAGAATTTACAGAGCGAGTTTGACAATGTAAACCATCAGTAGTATTGCTGACGTGGTAAACTTGTATTCTGTGGACAGGTGATGAGACGCCCCGGTTTATGTCTTACTTTGTACACAATTACTGGATGTGCTTTATATCATTGGTCACAGGAAACAGGTGTCTGTGGCCGCTCACCCTTACAGATAAAACTGGCGGTTGTCAAGCATTAGATTGAGACAACGGCCATTACAGGGACTGACATTATGTCATAATTGGCATGAGTCAGCGCATCAAATATATTTATAGAACTGGCTTGTCTTGGAGGACAATTTCATCAGTTCAGGTGTTGAAGATGTGATTAAAAGCACAGGGGCATGGCACAGGGGCATGGCACAGATTCTTACTCCACAGTCTGGGGATCTGGGCCATGCCCCTGTATAATTATATTGATTAGTGTTTGATGAACTGAGCACTTAGAAATAACTACACTAAACGATTTGAACAGACAAGTGTTCAATATTTGGTCTAATTACGCATGCTTTATTGAGGGTGCCGTAGAGATTTCAAAAATATGACTTGAATGCTATAATTATATAAAGCTTGAAATTTTCGTAATATCTGAAAGTTGATTGGTTGGTTTTGATGGAGAATGGTGCTGTTACTAGTTCGGAATGGTAATAGAATGAAAACAATGCTACCATATAACATTGTCTACTGCAACAGTAACCAATGCAGTCTTTCAGATAAATTATAAACTACTTTATGCGGGAAATCCAACTCTGGGAGTGCGATAAAAGGACTTTGTTGTCTCTGTTGCAGTCAGAAAGCAGTTAAACTAAAAGGAATGGTGTGTGAGGAATAATGTTTCTTAGTAAAAATGTCTCCCTTTTATCATTGACCTTCTGTAATGACATCATATAAATGTGATTTTTCCTACAACCACTATAGGATTCCTCACTTCCGGCTCTTTGGATAAACCTGCTAGGAGTTGGTTAACTATTTTTGGATATCAACTATAAGGTAACACCCTGGATGTGATTTCATCGCTCAATCTTCTGTTTGTGACGTCATTTTCTATTGTGATGTCATTGTTCATGGTCATTGTTTCCCTGATCCGACACAAGAACAATGTATTTTCAAAAGGAACATATGATTTTCTAGACATAATATCTGTATGTTGTGGGAGAAAAAACTCCAAAAACTTGTTATGATTGATCATCAAGTTTACCTCTTGACTTTATATAATTTCAAATTTTGATAACTCGAGTGAGATGAATATGATAACCAACCACCACTCGTTCTGGTACGTCTTTATATGTACCTGTGTAATAACACCATCGTGTAAATGTGATTATTACCTGTTTAATAACACCATCATGTAAATGTGATTATTACCTGTGTAATAATACCATCTCGTAAATGTGTTTATTATCAGTGTAATAACACCATCATGTAAATGTGATTATTACCTGTGTAATAACACCATCATGTATTGTGTTTATTATCTGTGTAATAACACCATCGTGTAAATGTGATTATTACCTGTGTTATAACACCATCGTGTAAATGTGATTATTACCTGTGTAATAACACCTTCATGTAAATGTGATTATTATCTGTGTAATAACACCATCATGTAAATGTGATTATTACCTGTGTAATAACACCATCATGTAAATGTGTTTATTACCTGTGTAATAACACCATCACCTAAATGTGTTTATTACCTGTGTAATAACACCATCGTGTTAATGTGTTTATAACCTGTGTAATAACACCATCTTGTAAATGTGTTTATTACCTGTGTAATAACACCATCATGTAAATGTGTTCATTACCTGTGTAATAACACCTTCATGTAAATGTGTTTATTACCTGTGTAATAACACCATCATGAAAATGTAGTGTGTTATCCATTTNAGTGTGTTATCCATTTTAACATCACAAGGAACATTACAATCGCATTGAATTCAGGTCAAACACAGAGATGCTTTCCTTTGCCTGTTTCACATCTAATCATTTACAAGATCTGTGAAATTACATTGTTTGATTGAAGATAGGATCAAAAGACACTTAAACCAGTTTCTTTTTATCTTAGTCATGCTAAACTTGCTGAAACTTGTTTCATAAATATAATGGGAACCCGTTTGAGATATGCATGTGTAACACGGAAGTGTTCAGCCATAACAGGAGATTATTGACTTGTTGACACGTCAACCACAGAAATAATTGACTGCTGGTCTGGACCAAGTCAAATTAGTCTTCAACAGCTTAATAAGTTAAATGAGTGTTAAATCTGAATAACTGACAATTCATAATTATTAGAATTAAAACAAAATATATGTCCTTGAATTCAAAATGTTCTCCTTCGGGTGATATTTTTCAAAAATACTTACATTTCTACAAAAAGCTAAAATAAATTGAATTTTTGAATTGACAAAATGATTTGTAACCTAACGATCCTTGATAGAACTGATTCTTGCTGAATATAAGTGTGATAAAGTTGTCTTAATGATCAATGGATAGGGCAATATGCGTTAATGATTACCATCCACATCGACAAATATCAAATAGTATGTATATTTCCA